GTCATTGTGGCTTAAACTATAGGCCTACAAATATTTCTACAAATTTTTATTTGGAGGTTAATTTCTAGTTTTTAAAATGTATTGCATTTTACAATACATTCTCTCATAATTATTTCATTTCATTACATTGTGATTATTTCATTGTTATTATTTGTAGAATAAGCCTATTTACATATAAAAAAGAGTCCAACAAATTAAAAATTTTCCCAATTATTGAAGTATTGAAATTTAGAGACTCTTCACATTATAAAACTCTCTTTTGTTTAATAAAAACCTTTAGAGTGTCATTTTATGCATAAGGAGGCTTTTCACAGTATAATAAAATCAGGCTAAAATTGTCAAAAATGTATTACAGGTCATGTTTGGGGATATACTTATTTACTTAAAGTAAGGATACTTTTAGCTGCATTTATTCCTTCCTTTTTTTTTTTTTTTTTTTTTTTTGGTACTGGGGATTGAACTCGGGTCCTTACACTTGCAAGGCAGGCCACTGAACTGCTGAGCTAAATCCCCGGCCCCTATTCCTTCCATTTCTAACTGTCCCAGAATCATTCAAAAATCTACATTCAAAATTCCCTCTGGAATTCAAGACAGACACTCAACTATAAGTGTCTGTTTAAAAAATAAAGCTACATAATTTCAAAGGTACAATAGTGAAACAGATACGTGGAAGACTTTACTATTCCTAAAGGAAAAAATACACAAGTGGAAATCAGCCCAAAGTAAAACTGAAAACCAGCCGGGCAAACAGGAAGTCCTAAAGCTTCAAGTCCAGGATTTCTTTTACACTGCAATGAGGGGTCGGCCTCAACATCTCAATCAACCCACTCCTACAACTCTGCTGGTTACAGCCCACAAGGCTGCTTTCTTGGGCTATGTACTAGCATTGGTAGCTTTCCTGAACAGGGCAGGCACATTTCTGGTTACTTAAACTTACTAGGCATCACCTCACTGAGTTTTCTCTATAGGGGCTCCAACTTTGCAGTAAACTTCTGTAAGTTTTCTCATGATTTTCTCTGAAATCTTAGTGGAAGCTGCTTTTGCCTCATAACTCCTTCTGCATAGCTGCAAACCCAGCATTGTGTACAATGCTATGAAGGTCTGACACAGGCATAGGCAATGCTTTGTGTCTGCTTGAGCCACATGTAGCTGTTGAGTACTTTGTCTACTGAACTCAGGGAAATGGACCCTGATGCCATGCTGGGCACTGAGCCTGCAGACAGCTGACAGCGGAAGATCCCCTTAGAGTTACGTGCAACAATATTGCCCTGGTTTGTCTCCAAGCTGATGATGGGAGAGGCAGCTTAAAATTTCTCCAAGATGCTTTTAAGACTTTTTTCCAATTGTTCTGACAATTATCTTTCCTGTACTTGATATTTCCTGTGTCTTTTCCAAGTACTTGTTCAGCTACACCCTCATTAGTCACACCTTAGGTGCTTTTTCATGGCCTTTTCATTGCCAGGATATGAATTATCTGAATCATTCTACTCTGTTTTCTTTTCTTCCTGAGTCTCACTGTAAATCTGAATAAAAAATGGACCAATAATACCCAATCCACAGCTTGAATGTTTGTTATTTCAGAATTTCTTCCACCAAATGCCCTAGGTCATTCATCTTAAACTTTGTTTTCTACAAGAGTCTAGGCGAAAGATACAGTACAGCCAAGTTCTTGGCTACTTCACAGCAAGAATAACATTTTTTTTCCTATTTGCAATAGAATACTAATTTCCACTGAAAAGTAGTTCCCCAATCCCCATTTCTTCTGGGTTTTCACCAAAAGCACTCATAAAACTTTGATAACAGTGTCCTAGTCTCCATCACCCCCATCTCTCTCTGTATATTGGTGTGGGATTGAATATACAGGACCTTGCACCCATGAAAAGTGTTTTACACCTGAACCACATCTAATAACGGTCCTATTCCTCATTACACATTTTTTATCTTAGCCTACTTTCCATTACTGTAACTAAATATACAAAGCAGGCTAATTTTATAAAGAAAAGATGTTTATTTTGCACAGTTTTGGATGAAAATTGAGAATGAAAATGGGTGTAGGCTCTGGAAAGGGCCTTTCTTGCCTCTGTGCCCCCACGGTGGATGAACTAGTGAGACTGCATGTAAGAGGAAGTGCAGCAAGCAAGAGTGATTCAGAAGTTAGATTCAATTTATAACAACTCACTTTCAGGAGAGCTCAGAAGTCCTTTGAGAGCTACCTTAATCCCTTTCCAGAGAAATTATTCCTATTGTTTATGTGGGTGATGTGGTGCTAGGGCAGGTCTCTAGGTTCTCGTGCACAACAAAGAATTGACACATGATAGTAAATAAAAAGCAGCAAAGTTTGCTGAAATGTAGAGAATAAAGTTAGTCTCACAGTGAGTGCGCTTGTACCTGCAGAAAAGAAGATGGCAGGAGCAAAGCAGCAACCGTATGCTCAGAGTGAGCAGGCTGCTCTCAGCAGAAGTGAAAATGGCATGAGCACTACACATTTTGGGCCTAAGAATTTAAAATGTTGCACCAGATCTAGGGCATCTCCCATTGGGACTTTAACAGCATGACTGACAATGTGATTGACGGTGTTGAGTCATGTCACTTGTATCAACTGCGCATGTCCTTTCCCATAACTCACTCTGTAATAATTGGATGTATGAAATGCAGTGCATATGTCTGAGCCTTCAATGAGCTCTGAGTGAAGAAAGGTCACTGTAGGTCATGCCGGCATGTCTGGCATACATGAACTTTGGTTTGGGACTTTGGAATTTTTCAGGATTTTTTTTTTTATTGCTTATTTCTGCCTCCTGGTGGTAGCTCTTTGGACAAAGGTCAAGGGCATTGGCCCTCATACATGGCCTAATTTCGTGTGAGTGGAGAGGGCTAATCCCATAGCCCCGGTTGTACTACCTACATTAAAATGACCTAAGGACCTCACTCTCTGCTCTACCATTTAAAGGTCCTACTACCTCTCACATTGCTACACTTGAGTTCACGTTTCCAAAACGCAACATTTTAGGGGGAACAATCACAGAGCGTACTATAAGCAATGCCAGGAAGGTAATGTGCATGACTTGGTATAAGTGACAAAGAGGAATAAATGAAGTTAAAAGGCAAGAGTACACATATACAACTTATGGTACATTGGAAGTGCAATGATCAACCATTGAAGACCTCTGAGCTGAGAAAAAAAAAAAGTAACTGAACTATGTCTGTACGCATCTTTTGAAACTAAATTAACATTTTACATTAAAGAAAGGGAAAATTGAGTGTAAAGATCAATGCTTTTTACACATATTTATACTCCATAATCACAATTTAGGTATATGATCTTAACAGATCATTTTAAAGCACATGTAGAAATTTAAAGTACAAATAAAGAACATGGAGACTAGCTAGGAAGAAATGGCTATAGTTTCTGTGAAACAGATAATGTGGGCTAGAAGTAGGATATAACAATTGAGTAGTGAGAAATGAAACTCAGATACTGGAATTTATATTTCAAGGTAAAACCAATAGGACATTGCACATGGGACATGAGGAAACAAACAGTGCAAGGGATGACACCAAAGTTTTGGTTCAGAGTAATGCCAGAACCAGTGTGCCATTTGCTAAGGTAGAGAGGGATTTTATTTTGAAGTGAAAGAAATCAAGGGTTGTGTTTTGTCCATTTTAAGTTTAGATGTCTAAAGCATTCGTGGAGACTGAAGTCCGAGGAGGTGGTTGAATGAAATTATCTTTAAAAATTGTGAGTAGATAAAAGCAGAGGATAAGAAGAGTGAGTAGAGACACAAAATACTACCCCTGCTCCCCCAAAAGCCAGGAAAGTAACAGAAAAAATAGAATATAAATTTTTTAAGAAGTCACTTGTGTGTAAATTCAATTCTCTGACAAAGAAAAAAGAATAGTAAAATGGGCTGTGTTCCCTGAAAATTCATATGTTTAAATTGTAAACCCAGTACCTATCAATATGACTGTATTTAGAGAGAGCATATTTAGAGGTGATTAAAATAAAAGGAAGTACTTAGGGTGTGCTATAACCCAATATGACTGGTGTCCTTATAAGAAAAGAGTATTAGCCCTGAAAAGGCGTAAGTAGTGTCAAACTTTTCCAGCTCATAAGAGCGCCTGCCATGAAGGACAAACAAGCCTGCCATTCATCAGTCTCCTGAGGACTACAGAAAACAAAGAGGTGGTTCTGAGTGGGAGCTTCAGTACCCAATACAATTCCCACCTAAACCTCAGCACAGAGCGAACAGGTGATGGAGTTCAGAACTCAGCTACTCCCTGGAAGGAGTTAAGTAGCACTTCTAGTACCAGTGATTACTCTGACACTGTCTGTTGACCTGGCTTCAAATATAGCTGTCTCAGCACAAGATTGAGCCCTACCTGAACAATTTAGTAACTCAGCAAGATCCAGTCTCAAAATGTAAAAATAAAAAAATTTAAAAACCATCTGGAGATGTAGCTCAGTGCAAACTCCCTGGTTCCGTCCCCACTACTACAAAACAAACACAAAAGTAAAGGAGAGAAAAAGACTTTCAGGTAAATAAAGATGAGAGTATTCATATCCTAACTAGGTCTGCTTTCCAAGAAATGCTGAAGAGTTATTCAGGTTAAAATAAAATAATGTTAAATAGCAGCATGAGAACATAAAGATATAAAGCATATTCATAAAGATTAACACATATACAAAAACAGAGTACTCTATTAGTATAATGATAGCAGGTAGGTCATGTTTAATTCTAATATAAAAGCTACAATATTAAAAATAACAAAATTATGTCAATGGATACATACTATAAATAAATGTAAATCATGACATCAATAAGCATTAGAGGAAAAGGATATAAAATTGTATAGTTTTATACAAATGAAGTTAAATTCTTAAAGCTTTACATATGCTAGCATAATAATAAAACACATTATAGAAGACTAGTTGTAACTACCAAGAAAATACTATAAAATTTACACAAAAGAAAAGAGAAAAGTGTCAAAAACTATTCACTTACTTTTTGTCCCTTTGAGATGGGCTCTTGCTCACTAAGTTGCTCAATTTGGCCTCAAAATCAATTCTCTGCTTCAGCCTCCTATGTCGCACAGGATTACAACTTTGTACCACCACGTGCACTAGACAAGTAACTTTTTAAAAAAGTCTTAATAAATTATAAAACAGAAAGAAACAAAAAAGAACAAAAGAAATACAAGGCAAACAAAAATTAAGTTAAAATAAGAATAATAAATCCTTTTTTATCAATATTTACCTTAAACACAAACAGATCACATTCTTCAATGAAAATACACAGAATAGTATTGAACAAGTATTTGTCAGCTTTCTAACCACTAAGACATAATACCTGATGTCTGAAATTTAATTATTTTGGCTCAGAGTTCAAAGGATTCAGTCAATGTTTAGCCATCCAGGAACACTATGGCAGCAGTATGTGGTGGAACAAAAGTACTCACTTGGTGGGGACCAGAGCACAGCTCAGAGGAAGAGTGCAAGCAAAAGAAATACTCTCCAAGGGCACACCTGGCGACCTGCCTCCTCCCACTGGCACCCACCTTCAGCAGCACAGTTGCTATGAACATCCATGCACTGACCCACTGAAAAGTACAGTGCCCCATGACCAATCACCTCTCCAGGACTTTGTGAAGTTGACAATTCAAAATGGCTAACTAAAATTAATTAAAGTCATTACATTAATTTAAATTAAAGTGAATTAATATTAAATTAAATAAACATTAATGAATTACAATTAATTAAAATTGAACACCACACGATGGAGAAACAATAATCTGTTCAGTAAGTGCTATCTGAAACACTGCATACCCACTGCTGAAGAATGAAGTTGGCTCTTATCTCACTCTACACACAAAACTAAAAGTAGCTTAAGAATTAAAGATAATGAATGAAAATGTAAAACTTTCAGAAAAAAATAGTGAAAAATCTTCTTAACATTGGTCTTACAAATGATTTTTTTGGATGTTGACACCAAAATCACAAATAGCAAAGGCAAACGTAGAAAATGGGATTGCCTCAAGCTAAAATGCTCAAAATAACAAAGTAAAAGTCAAGAAGATAATAAAATAACCGATGAAGTGAGAGAAAACACTTGGAAATTACATATCTGACAAGGAGATGATAACTGAACTATATAAGGAATGCATGCAATTTCACAACAAAAAAATCAAATAACCTGATTTCAAAATTGGCAAAGGACCTGAATAAACATTTCTCCTAAGACTTATTAGACAGCCAACAGATACTGGTACATGAAAAGGTGCTCAATGTTCCTATTCATCAGAGAAATATAGAACAAAAACCACAATGAGATATCACCTCACACCTGTAAGAATGGCTGCTATCAAAAAGATAAAATGCTAAGTATTAATTAAGATGCACAGAAAACAGCCTCCTTGCACAGCATTCTTAGGAAAACATAATAGTGCATCTGTTATGGAAAATAGTGTGGGCTTCCTAGAGAAATTAAAATACTACCATGTGATTCAACTATTCCAATTCTGGGAAATGAAAACTAAATTTTTAACAGGAATTTATAGTCCCGTGCCCATTACATCATTATTCACAACAGCCAAGATATGGAAAAACACTAAATGTTTGTCAATGAAAAAATGTATAAAGAAAAAGTGAGATATATATATGTAATTAAGCCTGAAGAAAGAAGAAAATTTTGACATTTGTGATGACATAAAATGGAGAACTTTATGTTAAATGGAACAGCTAGACATAAATTGCAAACGCTGCATTGTCTCACTTATATATGAAATCTGAAATGTTCATATTCATAGCAGCAGAGTACAAAAAGGTAGCAAGGAAAGAAATGGGGAGATGTTAATTAAAGCTAAAATTATGTACTATTAGTAAATTATGGAGCTCTAATGTATAGTATGATGACTATCTTAACAACGCTGTATTGTACACCTGAAATTTTCCCAAAGAGTAGATATTAAGTATCTTCATCACAAAAAGAAGAAGCAGGTGGGAGAGTAACAGACACATGTACAGAGAGAATTGTAAATAAGTTGGTAGATATGCTTCTAAGATTGACTGTGTTGATCATTTCACAATATGTACACACATTAAAAAGTAAAGTTTAAATATAAAAATATATATACATATATATCCTATTTGTCATTTGTAGCTTAATATTTCTGGGAAAGAAAGATTAGAACACAGATACACAGAGAGATGATGTGAGAAAACAGAGAGAAGACAATAATCTTCAAGTCAATGAGAGCTGCCTCAGAAGAAACCAAACCCTTCTGATTCCTTCATTTTGCACTTATAGCCTCTAAAAATGTAAAAAAAAATAAAAAATAAAATAAGCTTACATTACCGAAGGCACCTATTTTGTGGTAGTTTATAATGACAGACCTAACAGACTAACATGGGCAGTGTGAGAATTGAGGCCCTTTATGTTTCAAAAGTAGTGATTTTATCGCCATCCTCTTGAGACTTACTGTCATTATGAATGAGGGAAAAAATCTAAAAAATACAAAGTAAAGTAGAAATGCTTTCTAGCCTCAGTGCCAGAAATAAAAGACACATGTATGAGTAGAAACTAGTATGTTTAACAGAGACTAGTATTTTTTTTTATGTCCATTCTACCCTTGTCTCCCCCACCCAATTTAGGCTTGCAGCCTTCCTTCAATCATGTGGCTCAGTTTTGATCAAAGGAACACAGGGAGAAGCGCTTCCTAGAAATGTTCTTAAGGAGTGACATGGGTACTTTTAACCCTTTTCCCTCCTCTACCGTCTGTGATAGGGCATGAGCCTCTGAGAGTCAGCAGGCAAAGAATGCTCACAGTGAGAATGCACAAAACAAAGCAAACGTAACACTGTCTAACACCATGAGGAAATATACCAGTCCCAAAATAACTTCTATCTTGCTTGTCACCATTATTTATTTGTTATTTACAATCAAATGATTTAATTATATTTTTGCATCCATAACTTTTTAGTAGAATAAATGAAAGTACAGTGAAGGATTTTTTTTCAGTGTCCCTTTGATAAAATGTTGATTTACAAACTTTGAATTTGGGAACTTACTGTGGCAAAATTGGTGAATTACCATGGAACCTTATGCACAGAGAGGCCTATGAGAATAACAATCCTACAGTTTTGCAGTGGGCCCCAACCACATCAAAACATAGTGGTATTAAAAGTAATTTTAAAAACTGATTAGAAAAATAATAAACATGTGTATTATAATTAACTTCATTTTTATAATATATTATATATTTACTACTGCTATAGTGCATGGGTGTGTATAACATTGTGTAGTCTATGAATTTTACTTTGGACACATACAAACTGTGAATTGTCTTGCAGTGACTATAAGCCTCCCCTTTCAGGATCCCAGATTCAAGGATTGAGAGCTGCTAACAGGGTATTTGGATTTTGGAAAACCTGAAGTTTACATAAAGTGGTTCTTTCAAGATAGTGTTCTATTCCCGATAAGATCTTTGCAATCAAAAGTCAAAAAGACCCGGTTTCACTTTCTTTTCCACCACCTAAACTTTCTTTGAACTGGCCCTGTGCAACACTCAGTGTTTTCCCACTCAAAATGAGGAGTCTCATACTTGGAAGTACCAAATGAAACGTAGAAACATTTAGTACTAAAACATCTAGACATTAAGTACCGTGTTAGCTTTATTACTGTGGGTTCGACAGTGTTATTGGTCATTCAGTAAATGATAATAGCACTTTTTCATTTGTAGCTGAGTAAACTAAAACTGAGACAATCTGAGTTATTTCCTGGGGTCCTTGTTCCACTCTTGCTACCAACAATTAAGCTCATGCCCCTTCCCTTAAACCTCATCAGAAAGCAGACTCTGGAGATAACATTCCCTATCTGAAGCAGCTATCATTAAAAAAGTATTTCCCTTACCATCTCCTAAACTTTGGTTTTTAGGTACCTGCTTTATTTAGCAAGACATTTACTGCCTAACTGTTTTTAAACAAATATAATGTCCATAACAGTCACAGAAATAATGCGCTTTATGTTGCAAGTCTAATCCTTTTAAACAAATTATTTCAAATCAACAATTACATTCAAGAATTTCCTAAGATTTGGTAAGATTTTAAACCAGGAAACATTCTCTTCATAAACTTTGCATTATTACCATAGCATAAGGATTCAGTAGATGTTTCATGACAAGGAAAATATAAACAAAATGTGATCTCTTAGAACTACATATACCATGCTCAATAAAAGAAAAAAAAACTGTGTTCTTAACAAAGATCAGTAACAAGAATTTCACAGATCAGATTTCCTTAGTGGTAGGTCAAAGTGAACCGGGTTGGAGAGGAATGGATGCGGACAGGCTATCATTAATATCACTTTTAAGAGCAGAAATAAAAGTTTGATGAATGCAAACTGGAAGACTCAGGTAAGAGTAAACATCAGAGAATGTGGAAACGATATTAGTACAATTATGACCCTGCTGTACATCTCGTTTGACAGCCATGAAGCTAATTTAGTACATTGTATGACAATATTTGTCAATGATAAACTACATATACCACATCGGTCTTATAAGATTATAATAGAGCTGCCTAACGATGTTGTATCCATTGTAATTTCTCATGTGCTTATGGTGATGCTGGTATGAACAAGCCTACTATGTTGCCAGTCACATAAAAGCATATCACATGCAATTATGTATAATACTCAAGCGTGGTCATAAATAACTATGCTATTGGTTTTTGTATTTACTACAATATATTGTTATCATTATTCTGGAGCATGATCTCCTACTCCCTCTCCATATTAAAAAAGGCATATTGTAAAGCTGTATCTTGCGTTGTGCCAGGAGCAGCCTCATGCATCTCATGTCTAACAAATCCCTTTATTATCAAGGGGCTATGTCGAGAAGTTGATCTACACCAACTAGGTCTGTGGAAGTACTTGAGCATATGATGCCTTCACAACAATGAGATTGCTTAACAACACATTTCACACAACATGTCTGCATTGTAAAGAGACATAGGCTATGTTCACAAATATCCAAAGCTTAATTTGGGGGCCAGCAATTCAGTTTGCCGAATACATACAATAGGAAATATCGCCCTCAAAATTGTATTCACTTTTTAAGGAAATCACTTTCATATAAACCATATGCTCC